TTCAACAAGCGTTATGTCACTGCTCCATAGTTATATATCTGCAGAATCCTCATGTTAGATATTTCTGACTACTTTAATCAGAAGCATACTGTATGCTCTGTTACTTAACTGCAATCCACAGTTGCATGCGCATTTGCATAACTGAAGCTTGCTGACCAGTGGCCGCCAGCAGGGCAGTTTTGCTTTGGCAAACTGCCACCTCCAGACCAAGATGATAACAGCCCTAAATAGTTAATTAGTGGAACTGGCGCAATGATTGTGAAAATTGATCATCTGAAAAACTGTTACCGCACCGTACAGTTTGTAAAGTGCCACACATCTTTTACATGTACTATACCACATGCATTTCTTCTAATTCATCACCTCCTGAATTATTTGTTTATCTTATCGAATTGATTGTTGTACATCTAACGCTCTTCTCCAATAAGACGGCCGGAAAAGTAGCTAATTCATTCGCAGACATGCTAGTCGTTCTATAAGTGTATTTTTACAGTTTGGAAAATGGTTGCAATAGATCCATTATTACTCGGTTCAATATCTTTTTTGCTTCTTGTGGCTGTTTTCATTATTGTAAGGATAATTAAACTGAATGCCGACGAACGAGATGCTCATCGCCGTACCGAGGCCATTCGCGCAATGGCTGCTGCAGACGACCGACGTCAGAATCTAGACCGGAGCGCAGCAGGTTAAGATTGTTATTCAGAAGGTTATTCGACTGTGAAGCATTATCTTGATAAGAAGCTTTTAAATCTTGCTACGATCGCCTTGTTTTCAGTCATTGGAGGGCAAAGAACTGGCAGAACAAGGCGTCGTATTCATCATGTAGATGATGACTTTATTGCTGCTATGATGGACAATGGTCGAAGTAACGTAGATGAGGATGGTTTGTTTTTTCCCTTTGTTTTGAAGAACAGCATTTAGGTGCTGAGTTGGATTTTGTTTGAGTTGGACTGAATTCGGTCGCATAGTTAGTTTATTTCCTTTCGTTTGTTGCAGAATGAATCGACTTCGGTGCCTATAAAATTTAAGGGGTTTTTCTATGCACGTTTTCCTTCATTCTTTTGGTGGCTCTTAAAATTGCAGCAGGATAAAACCTTGGCAACAAAAAGTTTTGAGTAGTCGATATTAGATTCTTTAAGTCATTACAGAAGGTGAAGAAATGCTCTTAGAAGCCCCAACAGCAGATGAACACATTGGGAAGAAGAAGTTGGCTAAGCTGCAAGCAAAAGCTGAAAAGAAAGCTCAAAGAGAAGCGGTAAATATATGCTTTTTCAAGGACTTAAATTCATGAATTAGCACCTGTTTGGCTCTAGCTTTATGATGCAGTGAATGTACACATTTCTTATATCCCTTACTACATTAGTGCCATAAGAATAAGGCAGTATAGGAAAGTATATATCCAGGAGTTGGCTGAAAGGGAAGAACGAAAGAAGAGAGAGCAAGAAAAAGAAGAACAGCGGGAGAGGGAAAGAGAAAGGGAACGCCTTGAAGAAGAAGCAAAAGAGGAGCGTGAGCGGGTTGAACGTGAAGAACGTGAAAGACGGGAGGAAGAAGAGTATCAGAAGGTACAAGGTTTTTTGCCTTTCCAAACTCGGTAGAATAAGAATCATCAGACAGGCTAAAGAAATATGAAATATACTTTAAATGGTTATGTATCCTGTACTACCCATTTTAGCTGAAAGAAGGATTTGTTGTCGATGAAGAAGGATTCGACCAGCTTGAGGAGGAGGAATCTGCAAATTTGATGCGTGATTTCCTTGAATACATTAAATCTAACAAGGGAAGCGACATTTTTAAGTTTCTGTGACACGCCAGAAGACTTTTGAGCATAAAATCCAAAGGAAACTGAAAGTTTGTTTTTTGCGAACTGTTTTAACATTTTAGGTTGTCAACATGGATGAATTGGCAGCACACTTTAACCTTCGTACTGAAGATGCACTTAACCGGTTACATTACTTCTTAGAAAATGGTATGCTTACTGGAGTTACAGATGATCGGGGAAAATTTATCTATATTACTGAAGATGAACTACATGCAGGTGAACTTTGAAATTTGCCGCTTACAGATAACTAAAACTAAAGGAAATCGGCTTTTGGCTTTTGGCTTTTGTGTAAAACTTTCCAAATTACCTACACACTTTATTTATTAATATTTGGGAGTTTTACTGCAAACGTTGCAGCGTATAATGAGCTGTAGTTTTCAGTTGCCAAATTCATCAATCAGCGAGGAAGAGTTTCCCTTGCAGAACTAGTCCAGTATAGCAATAAGCTTATCAATTTGGAAGCTCCAACGACTAAAGAACAGACAGTTGCCACGTAGTATTACCTGGACTTTAATGTCTATGCCGAACTAAACCGATGTCATATACATACTGCGAAACTTACTGTTTTGCTTGTCTCTAAAAACAGACTTTTCGACGTCATGTTAAAGCTCATTTTCGGAAAAGATAAGTGAGGACTTGTGGCCAACATTACAAAGTCCATTTGGCCAAGCAATTCTGACTTTCAGACTGATGCGAGATTGATTGAACCTCTCTGACAGCTTCAAAAACTTCAATTCCCCACTTGTAAACGTGTGTCTTTGTCTCCACCGGCTGTTGGGAGACGGGCACCAGTTTTTAGTAACCTTGTCCCACATATCACGCGTCCTGCCACCGACAACAGTGACGCAGGAAAAGCAGAACCATTTCTACACGAATAGAAATTAGAAAACTAAACGGGCGAAGAGCGCGTTAAAGTTGTTTCCTGTTATGCGATTATGAATTAAAATGAATTCTTTAGTTTATTTAAAATGAAGAACCAACAAAGTGCTTTTGGAACGTTTTTCAACAATAATTTTAAATGACTTGAACAATAAGGTTTGCAACCAGCTAAAACAATGATGTTGACATTTCAGAATTTCAAAGATGATAGACGACGCAACAAACTTAGTGAAAAAAAAAAAAGAAAAGATATTTGTGATAAACTCCCGAGTCCCGATAAATCAATCCTAAATAGTTAACCTAACTAGTGAGAACTGAATAGCTTCATAAACTTTCTTGAAAAACTCGTGAAAACAATAAATAGGAAAAACCTACCATAAAGAAGAAACAAGAAACGGAACAAAGGATCAAATTTAATCGGAGAGACTCGTTAATCAATAGCGGAAAACGATTTAAAAGGGATTTCTGTGAGACCAACACGCAAAAAAAGTATGATGTACTAATCCAACGCAAAAGCAAAAGTAAAAACGTGTAAAATCAACATGGTGGTTGAAGTGAAAAATAATATTCAAGAACGGCTGCGCCGGCGGCGTGGGCTACGACTGCGGGAGCGGTTGAATCGACTAGGTCCAAGAGGCGCCACATTGCCGCCAGTCCCGCGGCCACGTTGAGGACTTCGATACCTACGAGGCGAACTCCCGCGATACCTGTATTGAAAAAAACTTTAGGCATTACCAATCAAAGCCTGCACAGGAAACGTAGCTAGTATTTAAAACAAGTGTATTAAATACTTTCTCAAACACAATCAACTGAATGAATCAATCGACAACCTTGGGGATGCACCCCTTCTGCCACTTCCATTCAGTGTAGACAGTCTTGGCTGATGTGTAAGTTCGCATGTCACTTCCTGTCCATCAATCTGCCCGCCATCCATGTGCTTAAGAGCTTTATCAGCATCTTCCGGTTGCTCAAACTCAACATAACCGTACCCTTGAAAGCAACTTCTTCCGTTATTTATTTTAAGAATGTTGGCAAGTGACTGCCCGCAAGGTAAACTAAATCAAATCATAATAATAATCAGTTAAAGACCTCTTCCAAGATGCGTGTGTTGCCTATCCATTGGCATTTCACAACTCTTTAAAGTCCCGTAGATTCCGAATATTTCTGCTAGATGCTCTTTTGTAACGTTTCTGCTAAGATTTCGCACACACAAGCGTCGAGGAGGAGGTGTCGCTTTCCGTGGCGGGGTGGCCTAAAAGATATAAAATAGCAACAAGCCCACAACCAAAAATTAGCACTGCATTTTAAAAAACAAAAGTAAGTCTGTCTAAAAAAGGTGGATTGAGAAGATGACTTCAAAAGAACAACCTCTGTTAAGTGAAGAACTGTCCTGCTACTCCAAAAAAGTCAAAAAAAAGATAATCAAAAACTCAAACCCGGCGATCTTTTGATCTTGAACGATCACGCTTGTCCCTCGCACGATCACGGCTACCACTGCGGCCGCGACGTCTTGGCGAGACTGAAGAGCGTCTTTTTGTGGATGGGCTACGTCTTCTAGGGGATGGTGAACCTCGACGCCGAGGAGATGGTGACCCTCTACGTCTTGGAGAAGGTGAACCACGCCGACGTGGTGATGGAGAACCACGTC